CCGGCTTCGTTAGGGCTGCCTCAGCAGGGGGGGTGTTATGCACAGAAAGTCGCACAGCAGCAGGCCCTGGGGAGCCTCTTCTAGTACCTCATCCCCCTCCTCCTGAGATGGTTTCTCTTAATATGCAGCTTCAATGTCCCTTGCTGCAGCCAGAGCCCATTGCTCCTTGTCCTGCCATCTGCCCCCCCTGAGGACAGCCCCCCTGCAGGGAGGTGACGGCTGCTATTCAATCCCCCTCGGTCTTCTGTCACCCCTTGCCCCTGTGCAAAGCCAGTAGAAGCAGCCACCAGGCTGGGAGGTGGATTCAGATGCTTTGGCCTGGTGCACTTGTAAGGCAGGGTGGTGACACCTCCTAGCTCAGCATCACTGATGTCGTTAGTCTAAGCCGTAACTCCAGCCGGCTTTACTTCAGGCGAACAGCTAACAGACCGGCCTGCCCCTGCACCTGCATTCATAGGGCTCTTGTGCACCTCCCTGCACATGCAAGGGCTTCCCTTGTGCAGCTGAATGAGGCTGTTGTAGTTACCCCACTCTCCTCCTCCTAGATTCAGTTGTTAGAAGGGGCGTCCCTGGTTGCCCGGATAGCAGACGGCCGCCGGGAGGAGGAACTCCACACCTACAGGGCAGAGGTAAGCAGCACGGCGCGCACGCAGCCACGGGCATCTCTCACCCAACTCAGCCGGCGCACACGGCGGGGCTAGGAGAGCAGACATTGTCCCCACACATAGGAGAGCAGGGACAAACACCGTCCTCAAGCAGAGTCTCGTCTTCAACGCGCAAGAGAGATTTTGACTTGGAAACGGTAGGCTTCCCAGCAACTCTGCCCACTGCCGTCCTCGCTGCGCGCTAGATCCACAGGGACGAGAAGCAGGTCCCTACGGCGCCTGCTCCAGCCCGAGAGCAGCACCGGCACCCCGCCGTTCTCGTAGAAGTGCTCCTGCCCTGGCAGCAGGGCCTGAGCGCGCATCCCCAGGGAGCAGAGGACGGAGCCCGTGTCCAACTCGCTGCCCTCACGAAGAAACGGACATGCGATGCTGAGCGTGAGGGTCCGCTCGTGCCAAGAGCCAGCTGTCCCGGTAAGGGAAGCGGGGCAGCAGCAGTCGTGCAAGCTGCACCGACAGCCCAGGGGCCTGCAGTGCCGAGCTCAGGCCCACGAGCCACTCGCCCCGCTCTTGCTGGAGGCTCCAGGAGATTCAAGCCTTCCCTCTCCAGGGGCTCTGCCGTGGGAAGCACTCGCCGCATCCGCCTCCCAGGGGTGCTGGAGCTCCCTGGGGCTGGGCTGGCAATACACACCAGCACAGCAGTCCACTCAAAGGGAGTTTAGAAACAGGTTTGCCCCCTCCCAGCCTAGACGAGACAGCAGGACACCCTGCAAGAGAGGGGTCAGCCGAGTCCTTTGCTGCCAATTTCCCAACTGCTTGGAAAGCCTCTTAAGCACATACATCGCTGCACTGTCAAGAAGCCTGAGCACCGGGCAGAGGGTCCTGCAGCAGCCAAACCCCAAGGCAGAGCTAGCCCTTGGGGAGCAACACGTACTGCTGGGAGCAGGGGCTCACCAGCTGGAAGTGACCCGTGTCACAGGGTAGCTAGATGCCACTGCTGCTGTGGCCACGGGGAAAGCAAACGTGTTGTCCTGGCACGTATGGGTGGATTCCCAATAGCCAGGAAAGCAGTCGTACCTTTGCACAAGGGAATAGCGCACCATCCTGGTCCCCGGGGCTCAGGAGAGGGATTCGCACTGGAAGCAGCCCAGAAGACTGGTGATGCCACTGTCCTAATCCTTAGCCTTGCAAGGTTAAGCCGGCAAAAACTAAATCCTTTCCCTGGAGGCGACATGGATGGACCGTCCGAAACTTGGACAAATGTATTTCGACTAGAAGCTGCATTTCCGCACGTACTTTGATCGTGGGGCAGGTACAACTTGCGTGCATCTACCTCCAGGAAGGTCTGTGACCACTTGGCTCTTTCCTCCCTTTTTTGTCTGTGGCACAGATGGGAGGCAGAGTAATTTCATAGACGTTAGGGCTGGAAGGGAGCTCGGAAGATCGAGTCCAGGCCCCTGCCCCAGGGGCAGGAAGTCAGCTCAGGTCACAGGATCCTAGCAAGAAATTTAGGAGCAGAGGTATTTAGCCTGGCTGGTTTGGAGTCAGATAAAGGCTAGGTCGAGTTGTACCTTACAGACTAGGCGATTCTCAACCCAGGCATCATGGCACCGATGCTTTCAAGGGTGCAAGACAAGCGTAGCGCTGTCAGACACAAACACGACTCGCATTGAACCCGTAAGAAATTCCCAAGAGAATCAGAAGATTTCAAAATAGAAAGCCGTGTTAAACTTTTCTGGCCTGTTGTGGCCTTTCAAAGTCTGCAGCAACATAAACATTGATCTCTTACTTCCCTAGTTTTTGCTCTTTGACTACATGCTGGCATTTTGGGGGGCGAGTCTAAAAGAACCAGCTAGAGATTAATTCAGACAACAGGCAGGGTATGGACCAATATGCATAAGCTTTCATAGGCAAGAGCTAGGAAAGCAAGCAAGCAGTGCCCCGAATAGAGGATGTGGGAGGGGGAGTGCTGCTGCCCAGTGCTCCTCTCCCACCTCCCTTCCTTTTCCTTGCCCTCGCAAAAGCTTGTGCACTGCAAATTGAACATGCTTTGTGGGAGATCAAGTGCTAGAAAAAACATGGCAGGAGCAGGCAATTATTTTGGGCAGAGGGCCACTTACTTAGTTTTGGCAAACCATTGAGGGCTGCATGATAGGCAGCTGGGGCAGATAAATATTTAAAATTTCTAAATTTTTTTTAGGGGCCCCGCGGGCCAGATAGAATGGCCTGGCGGGCCGCGTTTTCCCCAGCCCTGCCTTAGATTAACACGGCTACCACGCAGAAAAAACTTGGGGCCTAAACCTGGTTAGAAAAGTTTCCATAGAAAGCATTAAAACGGCTGTTAGAAGTTGCTCGCACCAGTTAACCTTGTTTCTCGTCTCAGGATATAGATCGGTCCTACCTCCCGAAGGAAAACGTGGAGTCTTACGCCAAAGAGCCTCACGGAAGTAAAGTAGCAGAACTGATGACGTGGGACAAGGCAGAAACCCGGAGACAGGAGAGGAGGGTACGTTACCTGCGCCGTAGTCAAACCGACAGAAGACCAGAGTGCACAGAAGGAAATCATGAGCATGGGCAGCAGTTTAGAGGTGCATTTCCTACTGCCGTGGTCTAGATCTGTTCTTTCCCCCAGCAGACAGAGGGATAGAGCTTAGCAGGAACTACTTCCGTAAGAACTACTTCGCTGTCAGGGTGGCTAGGATCTGGAACCGACTTCCAAGGGAAGTGGTGCTGGCTCCTACCCTGGGGGGCTTTAAGCAGCAGCTCGATGCCTACCTGGCTGGGGTCAACTGAGCCCAGTTTCCCTCCTGCCCAGGCAGGGGGTCGGACCTGAAGATCTGCAAGGTCCCTTCCGACCCAACTTGTGATGATTCTAGGACCTGAACCTGTTCAGCCTCGGCAAGGAGGCTGAGGGGGAACCTGGTGGCTGCCTACAGCTCATCAGGAGATCAATGACAAATAGGCAGAGCCCTTTTCTCCCCAGCACCACCTGGGGTGACGAGGAACAATGGTCATAAGCTGATGGAGAATAGGTTTAGGTTGGAGATCAGAAGGCAATATTTTACAGTTCGGGTGGCCAAAATCTGGAACCAACTTCCCAGGGAGGTGGTCCTCGCCCCTACCTTGGGCAAATTCAAGAGGAGGTTGGACGATCACCTTTCTGGGGGCTTGTGAACCCAGCATCCATTCCTGCCTGTGGCAGGGGGTCAGGCGAGATGATCTGATCAGGTCCCTCCTGACCCTAGCTACTAGGACACTACTATGAAACTGTTGTAGCACACACACAGCCTTAAGCTTAGAAATAAGCCGGTAGTTCAGGCTGCCTGATGGAGAGTTTTCTACATGACTTTCTACAGCAAAAATATCCAAGAGCTTTGTTGCTGCAAGCTCAGCGGCCAGGATGACAAGTAGCCTCCAGGGGCACTTTCAAACCTCTCGCCCTGTGATTTCCAAGGGTTTCACAT